TCCTGTGGTATTACATTAATCATTTTATCAGGCACCCATCAGCTCTTAAAACTAGTTTTGACTAGAAGCTTTTATTTTGGCCAGTCCTGGGGCTTGAACTCAGAGCCTGGGCACTGTCCCTGAGCTTCTTTTGCTCAATGCTAGCACTCTACCACTTGAGCCACAGTGCCACTTCCAGGCTTTTTCTGTTTATGTGGTCCTAAGGAATCAAACCCAGGGCTTCATGCATGCTAGGCAAGCACTCTACCACTAAGCCACATTCCCATCCCCTGACCAGAGACTTTTTAACGAACTCAATTCTTTTTGAAGTTAGAACATGTTTAAGTATTTTTTGTTTTGTTTCATGCCAGTCCTAGTGCTTGAACTCAGGGCTGGGTGTTGTCCCTGAGCGTTTGTGCCCAAAGCCAGCATTCTATGACACTTAAGCTACAGCTATACTTCCAGCCTTTTGGTGGTTAATTGGAGATAAGAGTTTCATGGATTTCCTTGCCTGGGCTGCCTTTGAACTGCAGTCCTCAGATCTCAGCCTCTTGAGTAGCTAAGATTATAGGCATAAAATCCCAGCTGTTTGTTTTCAAATTCACACAAAAGTAATATTAATAAAATGAACCCCCATATGTCTATCACCCAGCTTCAATCATTACTAATTCCTAGCCAATTTTGTTCCTCTGCCCCTACTCATTGTTCTGGATATACACCCTAGCTCATGTTGACACAAATCCCAGCTTCTAAATCATTCTATCTGTAAATGTTTCTGTATCTGGTTTTTTTTTGTTTTTGGTCAGTCATGGGGCTTGAACTATGGGCTTGGGCACTGTCCCTCAGCTCTTCAGCTCAAGGCTAGTGCTCTACCACTTGAGCCACAGTGCCACTTATGGTTTTCTGAGTGAGTTATTGGAGATAAGAGTCTCACTGCCTTTCCTTCCTGAGCTGGCTTTGAACCACAATCCTCAGATCTCAGCCTCCTGAGTAGCTAGGATTACAGTTGTAAGCCACCACGCCCGGCTTTGTATCTGTTTTTAAAAGATAAGGTCTCTTTCTTTTCTATAGAACTAAAAGAACCATAGCAGATCTGAAAAGAAATATCAGAAATTCCTTAATCTCATAAAATTATGCAGGAAGTATTCATTTTCTCTAGATCACCTCATTTATTATTTTAAAAGTACAATTGGTCCACACACTGCATCAGAAAACACGTCTGAAGTCATTTTAAGGTTATAACCTCCCTTCCTTTATTTTCTCCCTTACAGTTAATATAGAAGAAAATGGCATCCTTTGTCCTATCTGTTTTTGACACTGTGAATTTCATTCATTCATTTCATTCATCCCTGTGGTAGTGGTGTTCGGCATGTTGCTCTTCCTTCTATAGTTCCCGTGAACTCATGGTTAGGCCCAGGCTTATCTCGTTCCTGTCTGACTTTCTACAAGACCATTTCATAGCTGGTGGTATACACATCCACCAGAGGGCAGCTCATGCCCCACTGATCTCTGCACCTATGTGGTTGATGATACTGGACTATGAATGATATTGTATAGACCATTCTGAGTATTTTTAAGTATACTAAACCACATAGGTTCCAAGCTCTTTTTATCCTAGTCATTTTTTTTTCAAAGCCAAACTTCACTCAGAGTGATCAGTAAGTCCTCACTCTCAAACAGGAGATAGCAAGCATGTAATGAGGGCTGATCTGGACAAGGGATGCTAGAGAGTAAACATTAAGGAGTCCAATGTTTGGTATAGTTGTTGTATACTAAAGTAATTAGAAAGTAAATTGACTATAATTAATTTTTATTTTAGGCTCTAAGCCTAAGTCAGGAACTTTGCCTAGAACAAGTTGTAATACTTCAGAGAAGCCTGGGCCCTATCCTAGATATGCTGGTATATAATTTCATCTAGGATATAACTTGGACATTAAACCTTTGGCCTCAAATTCAGGCTTTATCATCCCAAGTGCAGGGATCATAGGCATGTGCCACCATACCTAACTAAATGTTCAATTTATTCCTGGGGATCAAACTCTTGACAACAAACTCTTGAGAACCCTTCCTCCACCTCAAGACACTACAGCAGAAACTCTGTGCTTTTTGCAAGCTTTATACTTTTGCAAGCTTTCCAGATGATATCATTTGCGAGCCACCATCCTTGGGTGTTTGTTATAGCTGAAATACGCAGAATACATATAGGTCTTGTGGAAGAGATGACCCACTAGCTGGTCAATGGGAAACAGGAAATAGTGCATTCTTCATGAGTGTCATGAGACACTGAAAACAGATACCTGGGAGCTTGTTGGCAATATAGAATCTTGGACCCTTAACCTAGGCCTGTTGATCAAAATCTCCATTTTGCTGAAATTCATATACATTAAAGTACATGGGAGGTATACAGGTATAAGGACATACAGATATATACTGGTATAGAGTAAGGGTAAACAGACTCTAGTCACACAATTAGGACAACTAAACATAAAGAGAAGGCTCTGAAGATCCCACTCTACCTTTAGCTAATGTTGACAGAGCCGGTCCTAAGGAATTCCTGTGATAACCTACTAGAAATGGAACTACTTGGTCAAAAGGCATGCAAACATCAAGAAAGCTTTGCCATTAGATTTGCAGTACATGTGTGGCAATGCGTACAAGTTTACACCTATGTGGGAAGTTGTCTTTTTTGTTGTAAAGGTGATGTAAAAATATGGAACACTTCTTTGTATTGTTCCAATTTTGGTATATGTGCTGCCAAAGCGAGCACTGTCCATCTTCTTTATTATTGCCAATATGAGAAATGAAAAATGATATTTCATTTTTACTAATTAAAAAACCCTTTAATTACTAGTGAAGTTGGCCATTTTCTTTTTTTCTTTTTCTTTTTTCTGTCGGTCATGAAGCTTGAACTCAAGACCTGGGCACTGTCCCTGAGCTCTTTCACTCAAGGCTATTGCTCTACCACTTTGAGCCACAACTCCACTTCTGGTTTTCTGGCAGCTAAATTGGAGATAAGATTCTCATGGACTTTCCTGCTTGGGCTGGCTTTGAATTGCAATCCTCAGATCTCAGCCTCCTGAGTAGCTGTGTTTATAGGTGTGAGCCACCAGCACCTATTTTCATTTTTTGTCATCTTAATTTCTTTTCAGAAATTTTCACTTTTACTGGAAAATGTGAGCTTCTCTTATTAATTTAAGGGAACTATATTACAAATATTCATCTTTTGAGGTTGTGCTAGAAACATTTTTTCCTCGTACATTACCTTTTTTCTGAACTTGGTTAATGTCTTTTTTTGGGGGGGGGGTCCGGTCGTGAGGCCTGAGTGTTGTCCCTCAGCTCTTCAGCTCAAGGCTAGCGCTCTACCACTTGAGCCACAGTGCCACTTTCGGCTTTTTTCTTTTTTGCTTATGTGGTACTGAGGAATTGAACCCAGAGCCTCAGGCATGCAAGGCAAGCACTCTACCACTGAGCCACCTTCCCAGCCCCGGTTAATGTCTTTTTTTTATACAGAACTTTTTGTTTTATTTTTATGTAATCAAATGCATAGTTTTATGCTTTTTTAATATTTTATGTTTTTATGTCTTATTAAAGATATCTTTCTCCAAGAAATCAATGCTCTTGTACATTCTCTTCTAGTACTTACATTTTTATACAGATTTGGTTTTGCTATGGGTGAGAATTTTTAAGGCTAGCAATTAATCTAATCCATGAAGAATTTATTATGTTGTTTAGTTTTTTTTTAAGTATTTAAAGCTTTACTTTTAGGTTGGTTGCATTTAAAACAATTCCTTCATCAAAACCCAAGTTCTCATGAGTACTCAGGTCTGTTTCCATTAGTCCCCTTGTCTATATCTGACCACATTACTCAAGCTTTTCAAAGCAAGTTTTTATATGTCCTAATTTATGTCTCATCCCCATATCTTAACCTTAAAATTTTTCCTCAACTCTTTGCAATTTGCTTTTTCAGAGAAGTTTGGAATTAGATAGTCATGGTCCAAAACTATTCCCTTGAGATTTCAATTGGGACAGATGAAAGCTACTCACCAATATGAGGTTGATGTCTTACAAAAGTGAGCTAAGAGTGTACCATGAGGACACCTGGCCCCCTGGCAGCCCTCTGGCTAGAGGCTCGCTGGAGGTACAGGGAGGCACAGCCCCGTGCTGCCTCTGCCCCACTCATCACCCTCGTAGTCTGTGATTGTTGGACTTCTTCTTTTTTTTTTTTTTTTGGGTCCGGTCATGGGGCCTGAACTCTCGGCCTGGGCGCCGTCCCTCAGCTCTTCAGCTCAAGGCTAGCGCTCTACCACTTGAGCCATAGCGCCACTTCCAGCTTTTTTCTTTTTGCTTATGTGGTGCTGAGGAATCGAACCCAGGGCCTCAGGCTTGCAAAGCAAGCACTCTACCACTGAGCTACCTTCCCAGCCCCTATTGGACTTCTTGAAAGAACAAATTTCTACACATCCTTCATTTAAATTCTTTCCTTCTGCAAATGACATTTAGATTTTAACCTGAACTTTCAGAGTCAAATCACAGGGTAAGAAGTATGGAAACCCCATTTATTGTATCAGAACCAGAGGAAATACTTTTGGTCCTCCCAGCAAACCATACTGGTCCCTTACAAGTGATCAACCTAGAATAACCAGGTTCCAATTGAGACTTTATAAAATTGCTCCAGAATTACTAAAACTGCCTTGTCAGTATATTGTTATGTTTAATAAATATGAATTGTTCATCTATCACTGTTTCTCCATTTTAAAAACATATCTCTTACCCCCAGAAAGATTCTTCATGCTAATTCTTGGCTATTCTTTGAAGTCTACCTTGTATTTAGCATGACAGCATCAAGAAGTGTGGGGACAGACAAGGACATCCCTAAAAGAGATGCCTAGGACTCTGCCTATGAGTCTAGGACCAATGTCCCAACCACATGGGTCCTTAGGCCTATATCTGCTGGAGAGATCTGGGTAGGGCCTCCTCCTGAAGGCATTGGCCTTGCTAAGCCTCATCCTTACCTCTTCCAGGTGGATAAAATTTGAAGAAAAGGTAGAGGAAGGTGGCGAACGCTGGAGCAAGCCCCACGTGTCCACACTGTCCCTGCACAGCCTCTTCGAGCTCCGTACCTGCCTGCAGACAGGGACAGTACTGCTGGATCTGGACAGTGGTTCCCTACCACAGATCATAGGTGAGGCAAGGGCCACTGCAGGCATCTTTCCTGTGGTCTCCACAAACCAGGGAAACTCCTTCCACCTTGAGCCCACCTGCAAGTCCAGGTGACTAGCCTGTGCCTGATTCTGCAGAGATCTAAACTTTGGCTCTGGTGCCCCTCAGGCACTGTCCCAACAACTCCCAAGTTTTAGTATCATATAGAGTTCTATCATTGAGTAAGAGATCATCCTCTGAAATCCCACCCAGCAAAGTAGCAAAAAGGGAGAAGGGCTCCTCGCATGGTCAAAAACACCTGTTGTCACGATAAACTGTTTCTTTTCAGGGAAAAATGGATCATCATTTCTAGGAAATTGGCTCTCACTTAGTGGAATGTCAGAAGTAGGAGGTGGCTTGCCTTATTGTCCCTAGAAATTTAAATGAGTTTTGTCCTAGCACATTTGATTTTGCCAGAGTATTGTGCTCAAAATGCTTTTCTAGATATAATTCATGTTAGGGCTCAAATCACTTGATAAAGTACTTTTGTGCTTTGTAGAGCACCTTCACATGTACTATCTCACTTGCTTTTCACACCATTTATAGAAAGAGCAGAGACTTCTATACATGCCTGCACAACCATAAAGACAAGCACACACCCTTGTACACGAAGAGGCTGAGGATTTGTGATATATCCAGGTTTTCACAGCTAGCAAGCAGCAAAGCCAGGACTATTTGTGTCCCATGCCGCTTTTAGTTCACTTTCAATCCCACTAATCATAGGCGAAACAGAAGACCTCCACACCTTGGGTCCCTTCTGTCCCACATGGACCAGGTATGCTTGTTTCCCTTTCAGATGATGTCATTGAGAAGCAGATTGAAGACGGGCTTCTGCGGCCAGAGCTCCGGGAACGGGTCAGCTACGTCCTCCTGAGGAAGCATCGTCACCAAACCAAGAAGCCCATCCACCGCTCCTTAGTGGACATTGGAAAGTCAGTCTCTTCTACCACAAGTGAGTTGGGCTATATGCTGGTGGGGATTGAGCAGGTGGCGGGGAGCAATATCAGGCCCCATGGAGCTCAAGTAAGCCCACTTTGGTGTCTGGGACTGTCTTTACTATCCTGGAGAAACTGAGGTTCTGGGGATCCCTCAGTTTATCTCTATCTGGCAAACTTCTGGGGACCCCAACTATACTACAATGCTATCTCCTCAGTCAGAACAGAGCAATATCTAGGAAGTATTCCTGGGTGCTCAGCCTGGACTGCACATTGCATTCACTGAGCCCTACCTTGGAATGCTGGCTTCAGTTTGGAGTTTGGCTTGGCAGAGAGAGGTAAATTAGAAAACTCTGTGAGATTATACCCCCAGCGCCATATATGTGCATACTTTTAGATGTGCTCACTTAGGAAAGGTCCTGGTTTTCCCCATGAACCCCCAAGAGATTCAGGGAGTTTCAACAGAAAATGGAGCACATAGAGATGGCAGGAGGGTCTGGATACACCTCCAAGCTGCCAGGGCTGATATATCTGGCAGCTGGTGTCATTCTTAGCAGAGCTTGGGCCATTAAGGGAGAGTGTATTGTCCCCTTCCAGCTCTCCTCTCTCAATATCTAAGTTGAAATGCTTGGAGACACTGGTTCTGGTAAATCTGTCAGTTAACTACAGGCACCAGAACAAAAATGATAAAATTACTGAATGAAAACCCTTAAGGAAAGTCTTTAAATGAAGTATATAAAAAGCAGGAAAGTGCTTAACATATCAAAATAGCTGCAGGTATATGCACAACACTTCCCATGTTCCAGGCATTGGTGGGGGTGCCCACCCTGTATGAACTCACATCACCTTCACTATATCTGTGGTGTAGGTGCTAGTCTCCTTATCCCTACATGAGGCACTGGAGGCACAGAGAGGCTAAATAACTTGCTTAAGGTTGCACAGGCAGTGGTACAATCAGTGAACAATTCAGGCAGTCTACTGTGCCGGGCATCAGTTTAATCCATTGTATAGTTATTTTTTCCTATCTTATTTTTATTTTTAAATTTTACTCAGACTATTAGCTTGCTTTCCCAAAAAATCTCTTCCTCAGAAGGGAAGAGGTATCTCTTATAGCCTCACTTTGCTTAGTTGAAGTAACTGTACATGGGTATGGAGTTAGCCTGGAAGCTATACTACACCAGCAAGGTTGTGAAACCAAGTCCTTCTGTTCCTGCTCCCAGATCGCAGCCCTGCCCGGAGCCCCACAGCTGGCCCAAGTCTACACCGATCTACCGAGGACCTGAGGATGAGGCAAAGTGCAAATTATGGACATCTGTGTGAGTGTATTCCCTGCTGCTCAGTGATAGGTTTGTGCTGCCTGCCATGGCTGTTTGAAGCCCACATTTTCATAGATGGAGAAGATAGAGCCCATGATCTAAAATTCTCTGGATATCACCAGGAGAAATCTCACCACACCCTATGCCTGGACTGCCCTCAGGGCCTGATTTACTACCGTAATGTTCCAAATGATTCTTCTGGAAAAATGAATTTCTAAATCAGTTCTGGCATAATCAATATCAGTCCTGTGTTCTGAGCATGTTGATATTGGTCTTTAACTTTGCCTTCACTAAGCCAATCATTCCCCCTTGTTTTCTGGTACAAAGCCTTATCAGAAGTGGGATTAAAAATGGATGAGGTTCTAGACCCCAGTAGCTCATGCCTATAATCCTAACTACTCATCTTTCTCACCAACAAATTTCAAGTTTAGTGATGCCTATACCTCTGAACATGCATCTCTGTCCCTCCCATCTAGCCTGGCACAGAGATGGCATCTGGTATAGACAAAGAAGGTGTGGCAAAGGGGTAGAGACCAGAGTGCAGTAGAGGGAAAACTCAGAAGAAGTGAAACCTGAAATTTAGTTATTTGTTCAAGAAAGTGCCATCAAGGGGAAAGGCCATGAGTGGATGCTAGCTTAAGTGGGATTCAGGATTGAGTGGGAAGGTGTCTTACTCTGGTTATGTACATGGGAAAGTCAAGAATAGGGACCAAGGGAAAAGGACCTACAAGAGCCTATCTTCACTTAAACCTTCTTTTCTTCTTTCCTAGGTCATGCCCAGAGCAGGAGCATGAATGACATTTCCCGCACCCCAAACACAGACCAGGTAGGAAAGCCCCTGCACTTGGTTGTAATGGAGGGCTGTAATGGAAGCTTCTTACTAGAAGCCTTTGGGAGCAGAGAGCCCCTGTGGGAAGGCAGGGGTAGCAGTCTTCAGAAAGTTCCCCAGTATTAGGTCCTAGATGTTGGTTCTGTGCCAGACCCCAGTCAGTAACAGAGAACGTGATCGGACGAAGTGACAGCTATCTCTGAGTTTGGGACTAGATAGAAAAAAATCGGCACACATAGCTTAATCTTCCCTATGACCCATGAGGACCTTTAAAGACGGACTGGAGAAGTCAGAGAGGAGGAAATAGGTCCTCTTCATGAAGAGACAGTGGTGGTTAATTTGTGGAACATCCCTGTAGAGTGTCTTCTTCAGCTAAGGGAGAACATTTACCCTGCTCTCCTACCAGCTTGGCAGAAACACCTTTGGTGAGATTAGAATCCTACAATTGGTTGAGGCCAGTTCCTAAGTTCCCTAGCCAGGAACTCTGTGACCATGACACCCCAGGAAGCTCAAGGGAGGGCTCCACTATTCTAACTCTGCACTGCTCAGAGCAGGAGGCTCACTTGTGCCCCTTCCCCAGGAGTAGGAAGAAAGATGACAAAGGTCACCTGAAACTTGGTGAGGAGTGATCAAGACCTTGGGTGGCCTCAAGTACTTTCAAAGTACACCCAAATTTGCTGGAAAGTAAAATCAGGCCCTCAAATCAGTGTCCTGAGGTCCCTTTGTGGTTAAAATACTGAAATAAAAACAATGACATGAACCAGCACTTAAAGGCCACATCCTGAGTATACAACACTGTGACAAGCACTGTCTGGATCATGAAGGTTCTGATGTGATTCCCACTTTGCTGATGAGATAATATTGAAGCTAAAAACAAGTAAATGACATACCCAAGTCCATGCTACTGAATGATGACAGAACCATGATTGGATCAAGGCAGTCAGATTCCAGAGCACTAATTTTGGAGTAATTCATGAACCAGTCAGTGTTCTGACATATTTAGAAACAAATGATCATTGTTATAGTTATGCACATGGACAGTGGAGCAAAGGCATGAAAGGTTTACCTAGTAAAAGACTTTCACAACCCATTTAAATATGTGTATGAGTTGCCATAATCATACAGGCTATCACTTTCATCAGGCAGTGTGGCCTTGATTTGGGGCCAAGGACGCAATACCTGGTAACCAGTGTGTTTTTCCTCATATGCAGTGCTGCTTTTCCGTATTCGTGATTTGTGGCAACAGTGGTTTAAATGTGAGTGGGTACTCTTTAGGTGTAAGCTCAGAGGGACCTTTCTGAAGATTGTACATTGTTGGTTTTTGCAAAGCAAAATTCCATGCCTCCTCTAGCCTGTGGGTTCCCGGTGAACAGAGAGTGGGCTCATATAGCATGGCTGTGCTGCAGTGACGTTGTGCTGCAGAGACTCTGTGTTGCAAAGCTGGACCAGAGTCTCTGGGGGGTGGGGGTTAGGTTGAACAAGCCCATGTTCAGCTAAGCCAGGGTGGCCATTTTACCAATATGCACCATTCCTGGGATATCACTACCAAGCCCTCTTGAACAAAATATGTCCCAACCTGTAAGGAAGGACCAAGGCCTCTTCTTTCTTAGATTACAAGTGAATTGGTTGGGCCTCTATGCAGTATTATTACTTTAAAATCCTTATTTTCCAGAGCGCTCATGCCCATTTTACCTTCTCCTCCTTTCCACTGGACCTCCAAATCCAACCTGATGCTTGGCAGCATGGAGCTTGTATAGATGGTGGCTGCCTTCACACGCCTATCCATTCATTCTGGAGAACATGCTTATTAGTTAGTTAGGTTTGACTAATCAGCTACATCTGATTAATAAAGGGACTTTTTGAACCTAAAACCTCTGGCCTTCCTGTCAACTCCTGCTTTCTACTATTCTATTAGGATCCTTGAGGGTATTATTGTTTGCCTGGGGAGTTGTGGAATTTAATTTATATTTAAAATGTTATAAGGATACAACCCTAGCTCACGTGCTTTTCTTCATGCCATTTAACCAAGTATTCATCATCCCCATCCCCAAGAGATATATCAGGAAACAGTTGTGGGAACAAAGGAAAAGGACCTGTTGGCCATTCCTTTATCTACCTTTCCAACAACTGACCCCTCAATGGGAATAGGAAGAAGCTCAGGAGAAGTGATCATAAACATCAGTAGGAATAAGCTTGGGCCAAGGGCTTTTCTAATACCTGACTATTATAACAGATCTTGTCAATCTGTCTATTTAACCTTCCTTCTCTGGACAGACAGTATTCAGAGGGACTAGAGGGATACTCAGTTGAAAGCCTCAGAAGTTAACCTGAAGAATAACCTGAAGGCATGGAAGTCTTGTGAAAACTTGGAGACTAGTCGAAAAGTTCGCCGGTAGAAAATGAAAAACAAGGCCTCCTCTGTGACCATCAGAACAAGCCTCATTGTTCACTCTGCCACCAAAGAGTAGTCTAGGCAGATGGCCTTGTAAGTGCTAAGATTCCAGTTAGCTGCAGTGAAGGAAGCTATAGTCCAGGCCTAGATCCAGAATGACCCAGGACTCTTCTACACCCCCTCAGACCAGTTAAGTGTTTAGGCTCATATCCTTCCCATCTAGAAAGGCTTGATTAGTCCTGGGGTTAACCAACATTAAAATCCTAACCTGTAGAACTGGAGAGAGAATTTGATTATTTCTCAGTTTCTTAAGAATTGCTGGGAGAATTTTCTTTTGTTTCTATGTGATAATAAGACAATGAAACGTGTCGAAACTATTTTACACCATGATGAAGAGAGGGTGACACAGGGGTGATACTGAATAGAATACAGTATAAACATGTATGAAAATTTCACAATGAAATCCTAAGTACATATCTAATTTATACATTTGCTTTTGTTCCTGTCTTGGCACTGTTCTTGAACTTTGTTTTTTTTTTCCCCCTCAAAGATTACTCTCTACCACTTGAACCACATCTCTATTTGGGGCATTTTGATTAGTTTATTCGAGATTAGGATGTCATGGATTTTCCTGTCCAAGTTGGCTTTAATCCCTGATCTTCACATCCCAGCCTCCTGAGGAGCCTGAATTATAGGCATGAGGAGAATTTTTCTTAAAGTTAGACTTTCAGTGCAGTCTGAAGTGGGATGAGGAAGTAAGAACATGGGGAATATTCTTGGCTATCTCATTTCTCTCTCTGAGCAGCGGAAAAACAAATTCATGAAGAAGATCCCTAAAGACTCAGAAGCTTCCAATGTGCTTGTGGGTGAGGTGGACTTCCTGGACCAACCATTCATTGCATTTGTGCGTCTCATCCATTCTGCTATGCTGGGGGGAGTGACTGAGGTACCTGTTCCTACCAGGTGAGTCACCCCATCCTGCCACCATGCCCGTCTTCAGGGAGCCAGCTGTCCATGCAGTCAGCCAACAGTGCTGCCCGGGAGAATTTGAGAGTATTTAAAGTAGTCATTAAAGAGAAGGGCAGTGGCAGTGAGAGAAGCTGTTAGGCTCAGGCAGCAAGACAAAAGCGAGGAAGGTCTTGGGAGAGTTTGGCTGGCAGGAACAGAAAAGGAACTTTTTCATCTACAAATGTAAGCCTCAAAGGAGGGATGTGGAAGAGTTAACAGCTGAGGGTCAAAGAGTCTTCCTTTCAGTGCTTCTATTTTTTTCTTCTTACTTTCTTTCCTCCCTCTTCCTCCTTTTCTTTGCAGATTTCTGTTCATACTGCTGGGACCTTCTGGGAGAGCAAAGTCCTACAATGAAATTGGCCGTGCTATTGCAACCCTCATGGTGGATGATGTGAGTGGTAACAGGCAGTCCATGTTCCTTAGTGCTAATGGCTCCTGCACACCACTGAGTTATCTAACATGCACATTTGAACACATACTAAAGACTGTGAGATTCAGGGATTAGCCATTGTCCTTTAGGAGCAACAATCCAGTGGGAAAGACAGATTCATAATAAAATTAACTATGTGCTGACTTTCCAGGGAGTCGACATGAGCATAACAGATAAAAAGCTAAGGAGGAAGGGACCTCCCTGAGCTCATGAGGCAAGCATTCCAGACAAAGGAACAGGGAGTAAGGCTCAGGAAGCTGGATGGAAGTAGTTCAATACAGGCTCAGTGTGAGAGTTTCTAGGACAGGGGGTGCCACTAGAGAGCTGAGACTACACAGAGCCTGTGAGCAGAGCCAAGCTCATATTCTGTCCCAGAGTGATGGGGAGCCTAAAGTAGTTTAAACCTAAATAGATATAACCTGATTATATTTGTAAGCCAGAAAGCATACTCTGAATACAGTATGAAACCTGACTCTCCAAGGGTAAAGGACTAATAAGTAATGAATGGGCCAAGAACTGGTGGCTCATTCCTATAATTCTAGCTACTCTAGCTACTCAGGAGGCTACGATCTAAGGATCACAGTTCAAAGCCAGCCCAGGCAGAACAGTCTATGAGACTTTTTTTGTAGACACAACATGTAGCCTTTTTACTAAGGTTTAAGAAAGAAAATTATTAGGAATGGTGGAGTATGCTTGTAATCCCAACAGTCAACACTTGAAAAGCAGAGGAAGAAAGATCTTGAGTTTTGAGACCACTTAGGATTCTTGAAACAAGTTCCAGGACATGATGGATTACCTGGAGAGAACTCGCCCAGACGAGTTGCATTTATGTAGCATATAGCATGTTCTGCATCTGCTCTTGAATAATATTCTACAAAACAAAATCCACATGCTGTTTTTTTCACTTTATCCAGACCCATAATGGTCTTCTTTATATCACCACTTTTGCTGAAGAGCTCATAAATTTGCTCAGTATGTAAAAGGAAAGATGTCCAATATATAATGTACAGCTTTTCTTCAGTAGTTTTTCTTATTCTTCATCATCCCCCTTCTATGCTCACTCCCTTTCCAAGTCACAAGGGGATTCTCCCTATTCTGAATCCTCACAAGTTGCCTGACATTCCATTGATCCTTTCTGTTGTGTATTTTGATCATTTCTGTTTACATGCCATTAATCACGATTGAGTTCTTTAGAGTACAGAATTTTCCCAGTGAGTCCTATGAGCCTCTTACCTTCAATTAACCACCAGAAAACTGGACGTGGTGCTGTGGCTCACAGTAGTAGAGACCTGCCTTGAGTGAAAAAGCTTAGGGACAACACTCAAGCCCTGAGTTCAAGCCCCATCACTGACCAAATAAAAGGACTTGAAATCTATGATCTTGGATTGGGCTCTTACAGAAGTCTTCTAATGTGCTTGTTATGTGGCAGCCTACAATCAAAAAGATTCAGTAACTCAATCAAAGTTCTACAGAAAGAATATGGGGACCTGGTCTTCAGTCTTGGGTGTTAGCTATTTTCCAGTGAGCCCTGTTTTCCCTGCAGTGCTAAGTTCTCATGACCCAAACTGAGAGTGAGTGGGCATCAGAACCAGTAGCTACAAGTGACTCCTTTGAAACAGCTGTTGTGAGTCTGGGAGGTGGATAAGAAGGGAATGTCAGGAAAAAAGCAGACCCTCCCCCCCCTCTTTGTTTCTCGTCAGCTATTCAGCGGTGTGGCCTATAAAGCCCGCAATCGGGAAGACCTGATCGCAGGAATTGATGAATTTCTGGATGAGGTCATTGTCCTTCCCCCTGGAGAATGGGACCCAAATATCAGAATTGAGCCACCCAAGAAAGTGCCCTCTGCCGACAAGAGGTGTGTATAAGGGTGGAGAGGTGGGGATGAGGAGAAGGGGAGATAAAGGGAACTTCCTTGGTATCATTTTATTTCTCTGTAAAATATCAGAAGCAAATATGGCTAAATGTAAACAACTTTAAAATCTGGGTGTTCTGTGTGTGGCGGGGGAGAGGGGTTGTTGGATCATCTTTTTATGTCCCTCTGTGTATTTCATAATTTTTGCTGGAGAGGTAAGAAGTGTTGCCGCGACAGTCCTGGAGGAGCTGGACCTTTCCCAGCTTTGGGGGTCCCTCTCCCCCATTCTTCTTGTCTTCCAGGAAGTCGGTATTCTCTCTGGCTGAGCTAGGCCAGATGAATGGCTCTGTGGGCGGAGGCGCTGGGGCTGGAGGTGGAGGCGGCAGCGGTGCAGCTGGCGGCAGCGGCGCAGGCGGAGCGGGCGGCAGCGGGGATGAGTCAGAGATGCCGTCTATGCACGAAATCGGGGAGGAGCTCATCTGGACAGGAAGGTGCCCACCATGCGCTCTCCTTCAGACTTCTCTCCTTCCCATCACCCTGTGTAGTACCCTCTCTGGCCTTAGGTCCACACACTGCAGTCTTTCCCTCTCTGTGCGCTCTCTGGATCCTGCAAAGGGTTGACTCAGGAGAGGGGAACAGGAGGCTCCACAGAGGAGTGAAAGAACACAGACTTTTCTCTAAACACCCTTTACTACCTGTGTTAGTTTCATGGGGCTGTGGAAATAAAGTATACGACCTAGGTGGTACAAAATAGCAGAAAGTTATTCTCACAGTCCTGATGTTGGAGGCTCCAAAAGAAGATGTCCCCATGTGAGACTAGACAGAATCCTCCCTTGCCTCCTCCAACTTCCTAGTGTATGTAGAGACAGCCCCAGCTTGCAGCTGTTTCCAGCTGTGTCATCATACAGCCCATGTAGCACTGTTCCCTTTTTGTAAAGACACCAGCAGTACTGGATTGCAGGCTACCATAATAACTTCTGCAAAAACTCTTTCCAGGTAAAGTCACGTTCACAGGTACTGGAGGTTTGGGCTTTTGTGAATATCTTTGTGAGACACAAAATTAAGTTCATAACACTGCCTTTTAAAATTTAAATATGGGGGTAACAATATTTGACAAGAAATGTACTCACTACCTTACGTATGTAACTTTAACCCCTCTGTACATCACCTTGACAATAAAATTAAATTTTAAAAAAATAAGTAAAAAATAAAGTAAAATTTAAACATCACCTATTCAAATTTTTTTAAAGAACAGGGAAAAGTCTTCTTGCCTAGCTTCTTTGCTAGCTCTTAGAATCACTCAGATCAATCTAGATATGAAAAACAATATAGCTATTAACATCTATTAACAGCTAGGTGCCAAATTATGATTTTGAGTTTGAAGTCACAATTTATATGTCCTTGACTCTATACCAATAGCTCTCCATTGAAAACATTTTTGCTTCTCTTTCATTCCCCTGCCCCTTACTCTCTATTTCCTGATTCCCAATTTGCTGTGGCCAAAGATTTTCATTTGCCACAACTGAACTGGAGATGCTGCTGCCATCTAGTGGGCACTGCAAAGCATGGACAATGCGCAAGATGCAGGATTAGCCACTCCAAATATCAATAGTACTGAGGTGCAGAACTCCTGCTACACTAAGTATCAAGTTAGGGGCTATAAGGAGTAGAATCTCTAGTAAGCATTGACCCTCCCAAACTGAAAACTCCAAAGACAATTGGGAAAGCAAGGAAATCAGTTGTGAGGTTTAGCATCTGTCCTCCCCACCTTAATAAATGTGTGTTGTAATCTGGAATGTCTCTATGTCCTATAGTTGGACACACCTGTATTTATTAAACACAGGAGCCCTGTAGATGGCCAGGGACATTAAGAGGTCTACCATCTGTGGACCCTGTGATGTTATACTCTAAAACTTCCCTCTCCCAAACTGGCTATGTCCATCATCCCCAGGGTAGATGGCCCTGACTATAAACTTTTAGTCTAACAAGGTTTATCTCTGGTCCTAAGTGTTCTGGTTGAAAGATCTTCATCTCCATCCCTCCCTAATGAAGTTCCCTTCCTTATGCCAGAATCCAAAGGCTCCCATATACTCCTGTCCCTGCTAGTGTTTATGGGAAGAAAGCAGCTCTTGGGCCTGTCTCAGCAGGTTCTTTGGCGGACTGTGTCTGGATGTCAAGAGGAAGCTTCCCTGGTTCCCAAGTGACTTCTATGATGGTTTCCACCTCCAGTCCATCTCTGCCATCCTATTCATCTACCTCGGCTGTATCACCAATGCGATCACCTTTGGTGGGCTTCTTGGGGATGCCACCGACAATTATCAGGTATGCGTGAGCTGGGGATGTGAGTGCAAGCGTCAAGAAAACCATCTGCCATCTTGTGGCAATAGGGAGCTTTAACTCATAATCCTAATACCAACTGTATCCAGGTTCAACTCATCATTTTATCTAATCCTTCCTCAAAAGGAGGGAGGGTGGCATTTAAGAATTATATAAATGATCAGACTTTTAAAGGGAATGCTAATCGTGACCCTAGGAATTTGGAGGACTGCAAGTTTGAGATACTCTTGCTAGTATAGGGTATACCAGCCCAGTCTGGGATAATGAGAACCTATCTCAAATGAATAAATAACAAGGTGAATGATTTTGCTATGTTCATGAAAATTAAATTCCATTCTAAATCATGTATCATTTTCAAAAAAGAACTTAACATCTAGACATTTCAAGAGGTTGGGGGTTGTAGCAGTAAGGGATCTGAATTGGTTTCAATGTTAATGGAAACCATAGGGAGATTGTGACTCAGAAAAATTAAAGTACTCCATTGTACAATTAGAAAATGTTTCTCGGGGAGACAATTTACTACACATAGCAAAATCATTAATCTATTGTAACTTTACCATTTGGGGGGAAGTAAATTAGTACCTTTGATTGGAAACCTAGCAAAAATAAAAGAAGAAAACACGCAAAAAAACATTTAAGAAGAATCATCTACTTTGTTATTTGGTACTTTCCCCACTGAAACTTGATTGAACTTAATTAGCACAGTCAGTTGACTTGCTAGTTGCGGTCTTTTCCTACACTTAAAAAAATAAAAATAACGTTTATTTCTTAGCTTGGATTTAAAACATTTATATGAAAGTTATTAAGACATTGCCATGACAGCCCTACCCATCTTCTAGACAATGGAGACATTTGGGGTAGAACCATTAGAAAGTTCAGGGCACCAAAGAAAAGGTCCATGTTCCTGGGCTGGGAAGGTAGCTCAGTGCTTGCCTTGCATGCATGAGCCCCCAGGTTCCATTCCTCAACACCACATAAACAGAAAAAGCTGGAAGTGGTGCTGTGGCTCAAGTGGTAGAGTGCTAGCCTTGAGCTGAAGAGCTGAGGGACAGTGCCCAGGCCCAGAGTTCAAGCCCCATGACAAAAAAAGAAAAGAATCCATGTTCCTAGATAAGTTGAGAAGAACGCCTGTTGCCAGCGCATATCTCTTCCAAGCTCAGGTGCATGTTCAGCTGCCTCCCACCATATCCACATGGCTGCTGCCTCTTGGTGCCTCCCAATTCAAATAGGCAATATTGCATATATAATCTTTTCTCCTAACATTTATCCCTGGGCCTTTTCTAACATAACAAGTGACACTTCCCTTCCCTTAGCTGTTTATGCCAAAAATTAGGCATTATCCTTAACTCCTAAATCCCAGCTTTTACTGACCCTAATGGCATGGCCTTATTTGCTTATAAAGCCAGTATTCTCTTTCTCAGCATTCCTGTTCTCCTCACACATTCTACAGTTCACTTTCCATCACCCTGACCATCTTAAGTTCTTCAAAGACTTGCTGTCTTTCTCATCTTGACCCTGTTCTTCTGACCATCCTGGCTCATGTTTTATCTTCCATAGATGTACGTCTAGAGTCACCTTCCTAATCACCTCTTCTCTTTTTCTGTGTGCTCCTGAGCCACTAAGAGCCCACCCCGGCTTATCACAGTCTTTGACAGTGGCTCTCAACCAGGGGCAATTTTGACCTGAGAGACATCTGGCAATATCCAGAGATACTTTTTTAGTTTTTCTAACTGGGAAGAAGATGGCTCTTGGTATGTAGTGGACATAGATGTTGCTAAACATCCTACACTTCACAAGACAGACCCCATCATAAAGAATAATCTAGGCTGAGGAAGTGGCGCTGTAGCTCAAGTGGTAGAGCGCTCGCCTTGAGCTGAAGAGCTGAAGGACAGCGCCCAGGCCCAGAGTTCAAGCCCCACAACCGACCAAAAAAAAAAAAAAAAGAAAGAATAATCTAGGCTGAAACGGTGCTGAGGTTGAAAAGGTTTGCTGATAAAAATTGACTACTGGTTTGTATATTCTGCTAGAGGAAAAAAGTGTATTCACAGTTCAATCTCCAATATCTGACACAATGTTTGAAACATAGAAGATACTTGGTAGTTGTTGAGTGGGTGAACAGTCTAAGCTCTAAGCACCAAATACATATTTGAATAAATAAACAATTCTATGGATAAATGGCCTGTCCTACAGGAATAGGATGAACACAGGAACAAGTATGTTTTACAGGTTAAAAGGAAAGGGCTCAGTGGTAGAGTGCTTGCCTTGCATGCATGAGGCCCTGGGTTCGATTCCTCAGCACCACATAAACAGAAAAAGCTGGAAGTGGTGCTATGGCTCAAATAGTAGAGTGCTAGCTTGAGTTGAAGAGCTGAGGGACAGTGCCCAGGCCCAGAGTTCAAGCTCCACGACTGACAAAAAAAAAAAAGAAGAAGTCAAAGGGGATCATCATCCAAATTAAATTGTGATGGAAAGTTGGGGGATAGGATATGGGGAGCAGAGTCTGAGTGGTAAGGGCCCAGAAGAAAGAACAAATATATCTGGGCTCATGGAGAAGTAGCTACATTGCAATCTGTGTGAAGAAACTCTCTTCTATTGCCTCCACTAAGCCTCACACTTCCTGTGTCCCCAGGGAGTGATGGAGAGCTTCCTGGGCACTGCCATGGCTGGCTCCTTGTTCTGCCTCTTCTCGGGACAGCCTCTCATCATTCTCAGCAGCACGGGACCCATTCTCATCTTCGAGAAACTCCTCTTTGACTTCAGCAAGTAGGTGCCCCAATAGGGCCCTCTGTGTCTGCATTTAGGCAAGGCCAGAATATAGAAATAGGTTCAAGAGGAGGCAGGGATGAGGCAGTACCAAAGTCATCTTTAACCATGGGACGAGCTATCAGGGAATGTTCCTTCTGACTCTTGCCAGCTGCCTGCCTTTAAGTCATCTCAATGTATGAGGAAAAAGTCAGGCGAGGTAAGAGGAGGAAATCCAATTAGGACTTGAAAGGAAGTGTAGAATATGAAAAGTCTCGGACAAGATGTCAGAAAGCTGCACCCAGACCCAAGCGGCCCCATCACACTAGACTCAACTGTCTTGTCTACAGCGCCATCTCTGAATCAGAAATTTCCTCTTTTTTTTTTTTATTCATTCTAGGTGTCTATTACCAACTACATGAACACTGAAGTGTCTTAGCACCTTCTTGTCACCTCTGTGAGATCCTTTCCCAAATTTCCCAAAAATCAGAAATGGTCCTTGCCCCAGTGTTCTTAGGTCCCTTGGATTGGCATCTGTTCTAGAGGAGAGGATTGAGTTCCTTAGGGTAGGTTTGGAGAGCCATGCACAGGCAGAGCCCTGGCATGGAGGCTCCTCACTTCCTTCTGTCTTTCAGAGGCAATGGATTGGACTACATGGAATTCCGACTCTGGATTGGCCTACACTCAGCCATCCAGTGCCTTATCCTGGTAGCCACAGATGCCAGCTTTATCATCAAGTATATTACTCGCTTCACAGAGGAGGGATTCTCTACCCTCATCAGCTTCATCTTCATCTATGATGCTATCAAGAAAATGATTGGTGCCTTTAGGTACTACCCTATCAACATGGACTTCAAGCCTGATTCTATTACCACCTACAAGTGCGAGTGTGTTGCCCCAGACACAGGTGAGTGGTTGCTCCAGTCATGCCCTGGGCTCCCACCTACTTACCCACTCTCCCCTACCACCATAGCTCTCTATCAAATGCAGGAGAGTGAGCCTTCTTAGGAGGGACTCTTCCTCCAGGTACTCACTGTTCCAAGGGAGAAAATGCAAGGACCTGACCCTAGTTTTGGGGGGAGGGGAATTCAAAAGGTCAGTAGCCCTAATAAGCATCACCATATCAGTACCGAGGTATAGTCAGGAGAGTACAAGGCCACAAGGAAGGAGGAAGGCATGATTTGTCTCAGTGTGGAGTGAGGCAAATCACTGTGAAGGCCACATTGTCAGAAGTGCGGTCCAAGTCAGAGGTAAACCTGATGGTACACAGGCCCATCAGAGCATGGCCACTCCCCCCACCCCCCAACACATTGCTGCCAATGTGGTTGCATGCCTTTTAAGGTGAGACCACACCAGAGGTACTAGAGATTGAACTCAGGGTCTTGAGCTTGTTAGGCAGTTGCTCTACCACATGAGTAATGCTTCCAGCTCTCTTACGGGTTGGACATGTGTGTGTGTGTGTGTGTGTGTGTGTGTGTGTTCAAAATAGGGTCTCACTTAGCCAGGGCTGCCTGGGTTGCAGTCTTCTTATTTGTACTTCCCTATATTTCTGGGGATAACAGGCACATGCCACTGTAGCTGGGATTGCAAGTGAATGCTGCTGTCCAACTATGTGTACATTAAGCCTTCTAAAGATTTCTAGTGTACTCTCAAGTTTGAGAACCTCAGTTCCATTAAAATGTTAATTGGTAGTATTGAGCCATTATGAGCTGCTAACCCCAGTAAGATTAGATCTTGTTTCTTTACGGAGAATACAACTGGAACCAAGACAGGTTAGTTTTGATTAGGAGACCATGGAAAGAAAAGTTCTAGAAACTTAGGAAACTAGGGTGGGAGGAAGGAAGCAACTGTGGTTTCTTCTAGCCTATGAGGCACTTTCTTTTTTTTAAGTCTGAATAGTTTTACTTCTTTTTTTATATGTTTTTTATTGTAAAAATACTGTACAGAGGGGTTGAGGTACTCACTTTCTAATTGTTTCCTTCTCGTACCTGTAAAACCCAGTCTCACCCAGTTCTACTACAGCATACGATCTTTGTCACTCTTCCTCATAAAAGCTTATAAGGACGAACTCTCATTTTCTCTAATTTTGTGTACATTGTAACTGATTTGTATCCTGTTTATGAATGCTGCAAACACTGATTTGGCTGCTTTCAACCCCACGTGAGTACTACTTTGTGAATGTTAGACTTTTACAGTATTATACTTGAGACCTTTCTAAACCTTCCATGTTGTATTTTTTCCACTGTCATCTCATGACCTTCAAATTAAATGTCTATTTTTATTAAATAGTCTTTATTTTTTTATTAAATTCTTGATACAAAAAATCGATGGGAACTAAAGACACAGCACAGAGGTGGAGAGCACGTGCAAGGCCCTGGGTTCAATCTTCAACATTCCTCCCTCATTAAAAAAAGTTTGATAAACCTAAACCAGAAGTCATCGAGAGCACTAGTAAGGAGTTCTGAAGCATTTGAGTAGGTAGTTACAGGTCAGCCTCCTGGCCTAGGCTTCTCCCTCTTTCTGATGTCTAACTTGGTATCAAGTTCTCTTGGTCAGTGATGTGAGGAAATGAAGGAGATATCATTGATTTCTAATAATGGAGCAAATCTAACAAACTTCTGGTTTTATAGCACTCATTGGAATATTTTGTTCTGTGTCCAGACTGAGTTTATTAGCCCCTCACCTATCCCAACTACCCCAGAAGAGAACAATTTAGACAGGCCCTATGGACAGCTAGCTAGAGACTGGGAAGGCCTCAATATTAATCTCCTCTCTGAGTTTCTTACTTAATATGGAGAGCCAACAGGAACAGACGAGGCTTATACTACATTTCAGTCTCAGAGGTGGCAAAACTGCTAGTGGACCTCCCTATCTTCTCAAACCTGTTGCAGAACTGCTTAGAGGAAGAAGGGAGGAGAGCTCAGCTGTCCCTAGTCCCCCAAAGCCTACTTTTGTGATGAGAAGCCACATCCCCTAGGGGGCTCAGCCTCATGATGTTGAACCCTCCCCACCAGAGGAAGCAGGGGAGACCAGACTGAGGAGTAATGGAAGAGGCCATGTGGAAATAAGAGGAGGCAGATTATGGTTCTTCCAGCTTTTCCCACAGAGCTGAAGGAAACTTTAAATGTCCATTTACAGTTAAACACTGAGGCCAAGGCAGGAAAGTGAACCTTATTCTCTTTCAGGTCTGAGATCAAGGAAGTTTTTTCCTTGTCTTACAAAATAGGGGTAGGTGAAAAAAAACATCAAAGCAAATAAATTCTCAGAAGTCTAGCTGACCTTAAAAAAGCATATATGAAGTGGGGAAAGGGAAAGAAAGCTTACTAGGTAGAGCTTGGACCTTTACAGGCTCTGGGCTAGCCAGCCTGGGCTGCCATCATAGCTCCAAGTATAAGCTATGGAACCCTGGACAATGGGGAAGTTAACCTAAATGGACCATGATTACCCCATCTGTAAAAGAGAGTACCTTGTGGGTAAATGCATCTTTATAAGTGTTTGGCATGATGAATGGCATGGCATGTATTCTCTAAGAATGTTTAAGTCTAGCAGTACAGACATGGGCTTAGTGGCCAGTAGGGATTCATGGGGCATATTATTCACCAACTGTCTCCGCACTGGATTCTTTATTGCACTTTTTAAAACTAGTTGTTTACCATCAGGCCAAGGCTATCCTAATTGTCCCAGCTATTCTGTCTGAGCTGTAGGCAGGCTTGTTCCCACCATCCTTTCCTCACCAGGGCAAAGTGGAGGTGAAGAGGGATGAGGCACGATGAATTGCCCTCACAATGGAAGCCAGTCCTTGGCACTAAGGCACTGGAGGGGGAAGGGGAAGAGTGAGGATTCTTGGGGATCCTGGGTCTTCCTACCCAGAAGTCAATGACCCTTTCCCATACTTGTGTGCTCATCTACAGTGAATACAACCGTGTTCAATGCCTCAGCCCCACTGGCACCAAACACCAGTGCGTCTCTGGTAAGTTGTTTCCTTTTAGATCTGACATTTGTCCATTTCTTCTTGTAGGGGAAGTGGTAAAAAATTTTTTGGGAAACTGAAACCAACGATGGCATCCCAGAATCTCAGAGGTCAACTTTGGGGCACCTGCACACCTTTGTGAATGCATATTTTTGTTTTAAGCATTTTAAAGCATGCCTCCTTCTATTAAGTCCATGTACATATATTACAAATGAAGGTGATGACTGGTAAACACACACACACACACAAACACACGTGTGTAAGCATGTAAGCAAAGCTTCACTTCCAGCTTTTAGTTGTGTAGTAGCCCAAGTTCCCACCCAGCAATGCCATCCTTAGTCCCTAAAACCTTATTCTTGTTCCTCTCCCCCTCCCCCCACCCGTAATGAACAGAACCTGTCCTTTGTACTCCTTTAGTCCCTAGCCACCCTAGGTCTGGTTTATCTTTCCCAATAATGATATGTGGTGGCCTTCAGAGGCTCCTATCTGTGTCTCAGCCTAAGTGGGTCTAATGATGGCATGCTGAAATCCAAGAGAAGGTTAGCACTTGATAGGTCTTGGGGGAAATGTGTAGGCATTTGGTGTTTCTGATGGCTCTACCTACACACATCTCAGTTGGCATTCTACAAAGACTTGAAGGAAGCACAGCATCAGGTAGTTCCCATTCCTCAACATCTATTACATGCAAGATGCTGTGTGTACTGAAGGTTAAAAAAAAATCTGAGGTGTAGGGGCTGGGAAGGTGGCTCAGTGGTAAAGCGCTTGCCTTGCATGCATGAGGCCCTGGGTTCGATTCCCCAGCACCACATAAACAAAAAGAAAAAAGCCGGAAGTGGTGCTGTGGCTCAAGTGGTAGAGCGCTAGCCTTGAGCTGAAGAGCTGAGGGACAGCGCCCAGGCCCAGAGTTCAGGCCCCACGACTAGACCCCCCCCCCAAAATCTGAGGTATAGCTCAGAGCCCTTGGTTTTTTCACTTAACACTGTAACTTATTAATGAATGAATGAATGAAACAATATGTCCTCTGTTCTCAAGTTTATTTGTTTATTTGTTTATTTAGTGGTGGGGCTTGAACTCAGTGCCTAGGCACTGTCTCTTAACTCTTTTGTTCAAGGCTAGCATTCTACCACTTTGAGCTTCAGCTCCACTTCTAGTTTTTCTGGTGGTTAGTTGGAGATAAGAGTCTCATACCCTTTCCTGCCCAGGTTGGCTTTGAACCTCAGATCCCAGCCTCCTGAGTAGCCAGGATTAAAGGCATGAGCCACCAGCACCCAGTGCTCAAGTTTACTTTTGATATGTTTGTGGAGATGAACCTGAAAAGTTGTGAGATAGCACAAACACAGAACATGCCATACTTTAAATATAGGCCATACACATATTTCCAGCCTTGGAGGTAGGGAAGAAGACTGATGGAAGAGGTCAGGGAGAGACTTGTGGAGAAGGTGGAATTCACTCTGATGTTGAAGATGAGAAAGTTGATCTGTAGAGAAAAGCATATTCCAGGCCAATAGATATCATAGACAAAGAGAGAAGAAAAGCACAAAGTTTATGGAGAGAACTGTGGGTGGACTAGTATGGATAAGATGGAGTAACACTGGGAGACTGAACAAGAAATCATAAGAAACAAATTGGGAAACAGATATAGAGCCAGGCCTAAAGGACAGTGAAGGAATGATAAATTCAGGGAACATTCCACTTTTAAAACCTATTGTTCGTTTGACATTTATTTAGGTGGCACTGGTTCTTGAACTTAGGGCCTCATGCTTACTAGGTAGGTACTCTACCACTTGAGTTATGCCTCCAATCCCTCCTGGCTATAGTTATTTTTAGTGGAGTCTCAAGCTTCTTCCCAGGTTGGCCTCAAATTAAGATTCTCCCAGCTATGCCAACCTAGTAGTTGGAACAGTGGTTGTGTGCCACTAGACTTAGCTTATTTTTTTTGCATTTTTAGGAGTATTTATTTTATTGTGGGACACTTAGCTTATTGATGGAGATAAGGATCTAACTTTTTGCCTAGGATTGACCTTAACCTTTGATCCTCCAATTTCTGTTTCCCAGGTAGCTGGGATTACAGATATGAGCTACCATACCTGGCCTGTAGAGAGCGTTTTATTTATTTTTATTTTGGTGGTATTGTGTTTTTATTTTGGCAGTACTGAGGTTTGAACTTAGGACCTCATGCTTGCTAGGCAAACCACTACTGCTAAGCCATATCTCCAGTTGTTTTCTGTATACAGTGGCTTCCTGGCTCCAGGAAGGAGGTATCAGTAGGACCCATGATAGACTGACTAGGATATGAGCCAAGCCTATGGAGAAAAGAGCATTGTTCTTTCCTCCTTTCTCTCAAACCCCTACATCCTAGAACACATTGAAGAAACCTGCATTAGCTCCTTATCTTTCCGGGGGCTGCCTGCCTGTGCTTCCTTGGCCAGTCTGTCCCCAGGCACACTACTCTGTTGCTGAGGGTTCCATTGTAGATCGGAGGGCTTGTGATTGTGAGTGTGGGTAGTTGTATGAGCCATCTAGACCAATGCCAGGGGTGGGGAGTTAGGATACACATCTAACCCATCAGGAAGTTGCTGACCCTTTCTCTCCTGTGCTTGGTCTTCAAGTACAACCCCCTTAACCTCACAGCTCTGGACTGGTCCCTGCTGAGCAAGAAGGAGTGTCTGAGCTATGGTGGCCGCCTGCTGGGAAACTCATGCCAATTCATCCCAGATCTGGCACTAATGTCCTTCATCCTTTTCTTCGGGACATATTCCATGACCTTAACACTGAAGAAATTTAAATTCAGCCGTTATTTTCCTACCAAGGTAAGCACACCCTGCAGTTAAGAGGGATCTATATTCAGGTACTGTTAGGAAGGTCCCTGTCTCATGACAGGATGGATATCCACTTGGCACTAAAGTTTTTACACGTTAAGAATGCAAATTTTGGATTTACAGAGAACAGGATTCCCTTTTCAAGTACCCTTGACAACACACTATTTTCGGACTTTAATCTTTAGCCTTTTGTGAAGAAATGATTCATTGTATTTTAAAGTTTTTATCATTGCCCTGATGATTGATGAATTTGAAAACATCTGTATTTATTGGCCATTAGACCATTGATTTTCATCTTGGAAAGTGTTTCAACTTGTTGCACATTATCTATTGCATTCTTTTTTGTTCTGAGTTGCAAGTTTATATATATTATAGATAGAAACACTTTGTAATCATATGGATTGCAAATATCTTTTCTCATTCTGTGGCTAGCCTTTTGGCTATCTTAATGGCATATGTTGAAATTCTTAGTTTTACCCAGATACAGTGAAGTTTTCTACAAGGAAAATATTGGACAAAGAAATCTTCCTGTGTTATCTTCTTAAAGCTTCATTGTTCTTCTTTTCACATTTGATCTACAGTCTATCAGAACTGATTTTGATGTATAACGTGAGATAATGTTTCTTTGTGTTTTTATATAAATAGCCAGTTGTTCCAGTCAGTACTTTTTAATATATAAAGACCATTGTTCATTTCTCTACCATTATGCAAGGCTTTCTTTGCCATATATCCAATGTTACTATATAACAATCAGTTTATGGGTTTTTAAAATTCTATTTAACTTTTTAAATATAACAGTATCAAAGTCTTTAGTTCTACAATCTATAATGTCTTTTTTATCTTATAGGCTAAAATCTCCATTTTTGTGTTTTAACAATTTTTTTTTTTGTCGGTCGTGGGGCTTGAACTCTGGGCCTGGGTGCTGTCCCTCAGCTCTTCAGCTCAAGGCGAGTGCTCTACCACTTGAGCTACAGCGCCACTTCCGGTTTTCTGGTGGTTTATTGGAGATAGGAGTCTCATGGTCTCTTCTGCCCGGGCTGGCTTTGAACAGCGATCCTCAGATCTCAGCCTTCTGAGTAGCTAGGATTACAGGCGTGAGCCACCAGCGCCTGGCATGTGTTTTAACAATATTATCTTGACTTTTTTATTTCCAAGTGAAGTTTAGAATCATTTTCACTGTCACTGAATTTAGACACTTGTTGGGATGTTGATAGGATTATGCTGATCCTATATGACAATTTTGGAAGAACTGGTGTCTTTCAAATTTGAGACTCCTGATACATGAATATGGTATACTTCATTTATTTTGATCTTTCCTCGCTCATGTTGGCTGTTTTCCTAAGTAGTTGCTTGTTTGGGCTATTATAAATGTTAACTGCAACTTTTTTAGTTCCACGTTTTGTTTGCACATGTGCACTGTGTCATAGGGTAGGGTACTTGGAAGAATCTGAGCGACATTCTCATAGCATCTGCCTCACAGTTGTCTCCTAAAGCCATCTTCAGCAAATAATAATAAAACCTCTGACTATCTGTATTTCCTCAATATTTTGAAAGAATAAATAAAAGTCACACTAGGAAGCTTTACAGTATACAAATTCAACAAAATAGTGTGCATGTGACGCAAATGTGCCCTTAAGACAGGTTTCCTTCCTACCTCCAAGTCTCCTCCTAGTGAAAACACTTGCAGGATGAAAATAATACACATAGTATGAAATTCTTGGACCACAAACTTTTTCTCTCACATTACTTAAAAATTGCTCTCTTGGGGCTGGGAAGGTGGCTCAGTGGTAGAGCACTTGCCTTGCATGCCTGAGGCCCTTGGTTTGATTGTGGCGCTGTGGCTCAAGTGGTAGAGCGCTAGCCTTGAGCTGAAGAGCTGAGGGACAGCGCCCAGGCCCAGAGTTCAGGCCCCACGACTGGACCCAAAAAAAAAATTAAAAAAAAATTGCTCTCTTGTATGCCAGGTGCCTGTGGCTCATGCCAATAATCCTAGCTACTTGGGAGGTTGAGATCTGAGGATCATGGTTCCAAGCCAGCCCTGGCAGGAAAGTCTATGAGACTCTTTATCTCCAATTAATGACCAAAAAACCTGAGAGTGGTGCTGTGGCTCAAAAGGAAGAATGATAGCCTTGAGTGGAAAAAGCTCAGAGGCAGTGCCTAGGCTCTGAGTTCAAGCCCCAGAAATGACGCATGTGCGCAAGCCTGCGTGCGCGTGCACACACACACACACACACACACACACACACACACATACACTTACATAAATGCACTGTTGCCTCCTGGGACTTGTATGAGGTCACATTATTTCACACTCATCTAAACATATGCAGGTCTTGGAGATGAAGAGTGGTACTGGTACATTCAGTTTAGAGATTAATGAGCTCCTCCAATAGAGCTGAGGATGACATTTCCATTTCCAGTACACCCCAGAGAAACTCTCACATGTATGCAATAATAGCCACATAAACACTGACTCTAAGAGGAAAAAATGAAAACAATCAGACTCTATGCATTGACAGAATAAAAAATGGAAAAATCCTGGAAACATTAAACCATAATATACATACACACACATTCCTACATACATGCATATATGTATAAAGAGAGGAACATAGGAAAAATAAGAAATATAATGAGAAAATAAAGCAAATTGCAGAAGATTACAGATATGCTAGCATTTATGTAAAATTTTCAAATGTAGCAATGCTATATTTTATTGAGGTATATACATATATTTAGTAAAAGTATAAAAATCTCTGGCAATAGTAAACTCCAAGTCTAGACCAGTGTTTTCACTAAAGAACACTGTCAAGGATGCCACTAGATGACAGAAAAGCATCAACAGAATGACCAGAGTTTATTTTTTTAATTTATTTTCGTGGGCCTCAACTCTGGGCCTGGGCACTGTCCCTCAGCTCTTCAGCTCAAGGCTAGCGCTCTACCACTTGAGCCACAGTGCCACTTCTGGCTTTTTTTTTTCTGCGTATGTGGTGCTGAGGAATCAAACCCAGGGCCTCATGCATGCAAGGCAAGTGCTCTACCACTGAGCCACCTTCCCAGCCCGAGTTTTATTTTTTAAGATAGAAGGATATAGCCAAATACTGGTGCCTTATGTGTGCAATCCTAGCTATTTAGGAGCCTGAGGTTGGAAGGGTCTTGATTCGAGGACAGCCCAGGTAGGACAAAGTTTGTAAGATCCCTTACTAACCAGAAGTTGAGCTAGTTAACACAGGCTTGTTAATCTAATGATCACAAAAAATCTAAAATAGGTAGATTGTAGCCCAGGTACATGCCAGGGTAGGAAGCAAGACCTTGCCTTGCTGCTAAGTTCAATTTGTCACACCAGTACATGTCATCAGGGCCACACACATCCTAACAATACACACTCTAACCACCACATCCGAACCACTCTATACATGCATAGCTTATGTGTGCATCTCAAGGTGGGTGTTGTCATTATGTCTGTCTCCCAAAGGAGGAAACTGAAGCTCAGAAAGATGCCATGCTCCCCCAAGGTTACAGCTAGCAAAGGGCAGAACCAGGCTTTGAGCTTGAGCCTGCTGACTTGAGATCCCAGCCTGGATGGAGCACAGCAGATTTTTCTTTCACTTGCTCCTCATCTTTTGACAGGTCCGGGCCCTAGTGGCTGACTTTTCCATTGTTTTCTCCATCCTGATGTTCTGTGGAATTGATGCCTGCTTTGGTCTGGAAACCCCCAAACTGCACGTGCCTAATGTCATCAAGGTTTGCCCCTAACACCACTCTGGATGCTCACTCTGTTTACCCACTAGCTGCAGAACCTTTCTCCTCTATACTCACTAGATTTTCTTCCCTCAGCCAAGAGACCCTAGTGATTTGCTATGTGAATTCCTCTCCTTCCAGCTTCTGGTTCCTTGATAAGTGGGTAGGGACAAATTCATCATGAAATCTTAGTATGTATCTTTGGAGAAAATGCTGGAATCTGCCCTCTGGCCCAATTAAAGCCTCTGGACTTTCATTTGGGGGTTTCTACATCCCTGTCCTGTGGTCACCAACAGGGCCAATTGGGATCTGTTAAAGTAGATTCCATGGAACAATGATCTCCAATATGTAGTCCCTGGAACAGTATCATTTTTTCACTTGGGAAAATGTTAGAAATGCAAACTCTCAGTTCTGCATCAGATCTTACGAAACTGAGGCAGAGCTCAGTAATGTGCACTTTAATAAACCCTCCAGGTGATTCTGGGTATGCTTACATTGAGAACCACAGCTTCAGAAATGTCCCACCAGGTCAGTTTACCTACTAATCAGAGCTGTGTACAGCTAAGCTCAAATCTGGTCAGTTACCTTGCAAGTGTAGCAACCATCTAACTAGGGCAGGAAGTTCAAACTTATCCTCCCTGCCATTTCAGTCTTGGCCTTTAAGATATTATATTTACTATATATGTTTTCCTGAGTAGCTTGAACACTTTCTGTACAACTCATGTTGGCCTCCTGCTGTATCTCTCATAAATACAACAAAAGATAAATGTCAGATTCTTCACAAATAACCCCTTATCCTCAACATGCAGTCTGAATTGATGTTTGGTGTTTTACAGACAATTCTAGAATACTCCTCAGACAAGTGAAGAGTCAGACACTGAGCCTATAAACACTTTATTCTTCCTTTGGGATCTCTTGCTTTTAATTCTTTTGCAAATAGTAACTGCATACCCCTCTCCTGGCTGCCCTCTGAAACTTCCCTCCCTGTTTTCCAATCGATCCCAGATGCGGCTAAGTATCCTTTGGTTCTGCAGACCCCAGCTGTGTTCATGCTCCTTCCCATGTCTGTCTGCCTGCCTCCATGAGATCTTTAAAGTTGCACATGCCTAATGTTTGTAAGGAAAATACTGCACCTGAAACATATACCCAGGTGGGAGAGTGGGCCGGCAGGCAAATGCCTGAGACAAGGGGAGAGAGGAAAGGGCCCTCTCCATTTGCTCCACCCAGCCCACGAGGCCTGACCGAGGCTGGTTCGTGGCCCCTTTTGGGAAGAACCCGTGGTGGGTGTACCTGGCGAGCATCCTGCCCGCCTTGCTGGTGACCATCTTGATCTTCATGGACCAGCAGATCACAGCTGTCATTGTCAACCGGAAGGAGAACAAGCTGAGGGTAAGGCTGGTGTTAGGAGCAAAGCCAGAATGAATGGCAGAGGGAAATGATGTTTCTTTTCATAATTAGAGCACACACTGAAAGTTCCCACCTGAAGTGGATGGGATGGGTGGGATGTGCCTCTCAAATAGGGTCATGGTGATTTGGTCTGAGGACTAGACCAAGCCCAAGCTGGACAACTGGGCATAGGCTCCTTGCCTCTCCCAAAGTTCCCTCTACCTCTGTACTTTTTGGAAATCTGAGAAGATGCTGGCAAGGATTAGGTCTTAAATCATGAGGAAAGCATCCCTTCTTCCTCTACCAAAACTCCCCTCCCTCACTATGGGTATGAGAAACTCAGACTTCCTGTCCCACTACACTCTAGGCTTAAGGTAAGGCCTGCTCTAGCTGGGAGTCCTTGTCCACGAACTGTAGAGATACTGTGGCTGCCGGGTGGGAACAGTGGCCTTTTCCTTAGGGAACCAAAGGCCTGAATAAGCCTAAACATGTTTAGCCTTTCCAAGCCTAAACATCCTTCTCCTCCTTTACCTGAATCCCTAACCTGGCTTACCCTTTAGGTAAGGTGGCAGCTGAAGCCACCTCTGGGAGTGGTGAGACCCAACACTTCTGAAGTCCTCGTCAGGGGCACCTCAAAGTACACACTGGAAGGCAGAGAGAGCCCTTGAACCCTGTTCTATAAAATGGCAACATTGAGAAGGAGTAAGTTTCCACAAGCTTCTCCTTCCTCTCACCCCTACAGAAAGCTGCCGGCTACCATCTGGACCTGTTCTGGGTGGGCATCCTTATGGCACTGTGCTCCTTCACGGGGCTCCCCTGGTATGTAGCTGCCACGGTCATCTCCATCGCCCACATTGACAGCCTCAAGATGGAAACGGAGACCAGCGCCCCTGGGGAGCAGCCTCAGTTCCTGGGGGTCAGGTAGGAAGGGACAGGGCATAAATCAAAGAGGAGAAACCAGCTTGCTGGAGAAGTGGTTTTGCTTACTATCAAGGATATTGGGCTCCTCACTCTGACAGCTCAGGAACTGAGCTGACAGGAGTGATAACCTAAAGGGAGAGAAGGAAAAATGGAAGAATTCAGTTCCACGTGGCACTTTTTGCTCAGTAGTCTCCCAGTAGTGCACATACCCATTCCCATAAATACATTTGACCTAAATAGAGTCTCACCTAACAAGTTCTGCTAGAGCCTTTACCTGTCCTCCACTTTATCTCTTTCTCCAAGCCCGAAGGGCCTCTTGGGCTTTCCTTCTCTGCTCAATCTCCATTCAGAAAGCTTTCTTGGGTCCACCCCCATTGTGTGGCCTGTGGACCTGGCCTGTTTCTGTTCCTTCCTTTGTTCCAAATCAGGTCCCCAAGCTATTTTAGGAATGAAGCACATCTTCTAGCCAAATGAGACCCTGACATTTCTCTAATGGCTTCCCTGGAAACTTCTCCCTTCTGCCTTTTAGGCTAATTTGAGGATTTATGACTACTTAAGATAGTATCTTTAAGCTCCTGGACCTAAGCAATCTGTTCCTGGAGTTCAGGGCTCCAACCTAGATTGTGTCAGGGTCTGGACATTCAGGCCAACCTACTTACCCCAACCCTGGCACGTGCTCTGTCAGTAGATGGGTCTCTACCCTGGATCTTCACCCATTGTGGCCCACAAGAGTGAGGAGCATATTTCCAAACAGCAGGGTAGTAGGTACTAAATACCACAATGGTCTCCTCAACTACATGTTATTGTTACTTTCATTTATTTGGCCCATCTTGCCTGATGCCACGTAATGATTAAGTAGCAGACCAAAATTCAAACCAAGTTTGATGGCTTCGGCACCCCAGCTATCAAGCAGATTTCTGACCAGCCTCCCTAATGTTCCTATAAGATACTCTGTGGTTCCCTGTCTTCCCTGTGTGGGCCAGAAAGGTTTCAGGCTATAGGGCAAAGCCGAATGGAAAAGCTCTTTGAGGTCATGGCTTTGGACACAAGTTTCAGAGCCCATGGAAAAAATGGGGCTAGAAATTGTCACTGAGCATCTGGTGGGTCACCTCTGACAGTGTGCTGTTCTCCACCAGGGAACAGAGAGTAACTGGCATCATTGTTTTCATCCTGACGGGAATCTCTGTCTTCCTGGCTCCCATCCTGAAGGTAAGGCTTTGTACCTTACTCCTGAACACATTGCCTGAAAATCATATCAGACCAAAATCTCATCCACCCCACCCAGCATCCACTCTTACCTTCCTGGAAGACATTGTTCTCTCAGACAGTTCTGCCCAGTTTTGTCCCTGCTTAGATCAAGAACTTCCTGAGCTGGGTGTGTCCATGTTGTGGTTTGTGGCTATTCTTTCTTGTTTGCTCCTTTCTGAAGTTTAAACTTTGCAGCAGAAAACTTCCCAAGTTCCTCTAAACTTGTTCTCTTCTCCTCTGTTTCAAGTGTCTTGAGTGCATAAGTGAGTTTTTCCCACACAGTTTGAAATTCCTCTTGCTCACGTCCCACCAAGACAGATGGAAGAAACTATCTACAGTTAGGATACATACAAGGTGGATGTCTCCAGAACTATCATTTTCTGGTCAAGAATGGGGAAGGGGTTCCCACAAGGTCTTTCCATTCTCTATCCTGCCCTGAATCCAACCACCTATCCTATTAATGCCATGTTAGTGGCAGAGTGCTGGCTTAGCATAAGCAAGGCTATGGGTTCAATACCCACTACCACATTAGACTTTTTCTTGAATTAAGGTATTAGGGTAACATGTTGTACCATTTTCTTCCTTTGAATATTGCAAAACAGCTCATGAGTGGGAACTTGTAAAAACGAAAACTGAAAAATCATAATGTAATTGATACAAAATATAGTTCTGGCTTCATAATTGGTATTAGGCATACTGGAGCAGAATATATAAGACTGACTGCCTTTAAAGGGATATTTCTATTGTTCAGGAAACACATCATTCACAGGTGGGCAGGCATTTTGTTCATTTAGAAGGTTATTTGTTTGTTTTTGTGTGTAGTCCTGAGGCTTGAACTCAGGGACTAGGCACTATCCTTGAACATTTTTGCTCAAAACTAGCATTTTACCACTTGAGCCACAGCTCCACTTTGGCTTTTTGCTGGTTAACTGGAGATTAAGCATCTCACAGACTCTCCTGCCCTGCTAGCTTTGTGAACCTTGATTTCAAACTCTTGAGTAGGTAGGATGATGGATGTCCAAGTTATTTTAAATGGCAAATAAGTATTTAATTTTGTGGAAAGGGCTTCAAAGACTTGTTGTATATGTCAGTCTTCATATTTACTGTCTGACAAGCATTCCCTAGCCTAAGGATAGCATATTTTAGTAGCCCAAAGTTCCTATAAACACCAGGTGTCAGAAGCTCCAGAGTCCCTGTGATAGAGCCTCAGACCTCAGGTGATCTCAGCGCTCTGCCCCAGCTGTAAGTGTGTTCAGCAATTCAGCGATTTTACATCAGCTTTTGTGTGGATTTGAATGGAGCACAAAGCAGTCAGAAAAATCCTCTACAGCTTCCCTCCTTTTGTTCCATTTACAATGTCATCAATTCTTTTGTAAACACATTTATTATATTCTGTGTATATGTTTTTCTAAGCTTTTGACATCTCATTTCAGTATTTTTTTGTTTTTACACTAATATTGTCTATTTTCTTAATAGGGGTAGCTTGCCTACAGCAGTGTAATTAAATGAATTGAAATGATGGCTGGGGGCTGTAGCTCAGTGGCTGAGTGTTTGCAAGGCACTGGGTTCAATCCTCAGTACCACAAAAAAAACAGTATGGTCACATTATTCATTTCTAGTTTCACATTTTGAGCAACAATGGAAATTCCCTTTCAGCTGTAGTTTTTTACCTAAATGCTGTAATGCTTTCAAACTATGAATTGCATTTCTTTCTTTCTTTTTTTTTTTGGTCAGTCGTGGGGCTTGAACTCTGGGCCTGGGCGCTGTCCCTCATCTCTTCAGCTCAAGGCGAGCGCTCTACCACTTGAGCTACAGCGCCACTTCTGGTTTTCTGGTGGTTTATTGGAGATAGGAGTCTCATGGTCTCTCCTGCCCGGGCTGGCTTTGAACCTCGATTCTCAGATCTCAGCCTCCTGAGTAGCTAGGATTACAGGCGTGAGCCACCAGCGCCCAGCTATGAACTGCATTTCTACTACATTCATTTATGTATTTATAAAATAGGCTGTAGAAAGTGCCAGATATGAGAAAAATTTTAAATATTGCTGTACCTGTTCCATGACTTTTCCATGCAAGTTTTCAAGGGTCCACATTGGTCCAAATACTAGTTTAAGGCTAGTTTAAGGCTCAAAAGAAATATAATAAGAGGAAAATAAGCCCAAATCATCAATTGTCTAGGGGCACAGCTTGAGGAAGGCAAACTTCTTGTCTTCAGTGTATCAAGACTTTGCCAATGTGGCCACACAGGTAGTTAGAGAACAAGACATTGGTGTTTTACCTGAGGAAAAATCAAGGCCTGAAGAGGCAAATTAAGTCCCCCTGCCTATCTTAATTTATGTAATAAACATATTCATTGTTCTTTGAAAAGAAGTTAGTTAAGTGATTAAAGCATTATCACTAGATGACACAAGTACCAAAAACCATATTGACTCTGTGTTAAGGAAAAAAATGTAACTAGTTGAACAAAACATAATTTAGTGAATATGTAAGGGCCTAGATTTCATTATCATTTATTTCCAATCAATATAACTTTTTATAAATTTTATTTAACTTTTTGAAAATGTATGTTTGCCTGTCATCCTAGGTAGATGTGCGTGTTTGACCCATAAAACTGATCTTGGGGGCTGTGGTTGCAGCTCAGTGGTAGAACACTTGCCTAGCATGCACAAAGCACTGGGTCTCATTCCCAGCAAGGACAGAAAGAAGGAAGGAGGGGAAATAACACTGGAGAGCTGTCAACTCAAGATAACACTGAAGTTGAAATCTTTAACTCTTGTTTATGTTACCAACAGGGGGGTGGTCTTGCTGATACTGTAAGTTATCAAGAGTATAAATTGGGTTCTACTGGGGCTGGGAAGGTGGCTCAGTGGTAGAGCACTTGCCTTGCATGCCTGAGGCCCTGGGTTCGATTCCTCAGCACCACATACGAAAAAAGCCGGAAGTGGCGCTATGGCTCAAGTAGTAGAGCGCTAGCCTTGAGCTGAAGAGCTGAAGGACAGCGCCCAGGCCCAGAGTTCAGGCCCCACGACCGGACCAAAAAAAAAAAATTGGGTTCTACTTACAGTGTTGTTATGTCCCTATATCGCTTTGTAATTGCACTTATTTTTGTACCAGTTCCTTCCATAGAGTTCCATTCCAGTATGCTTTACATTTTATTGTATATAAAAATCATCTGATGACTGATGCCTGTAATCTTACCTACTCAGGATTATGAGATCTGAGGGTTGTGGTTCAAAGCTAGCCTGGGCAGGAAAGTCTGTGAGGTTCTTATCTCCAATTAACTACCAAAAAAAGCTGGAAGTAGAATTGAGCTCAAGAAGTAGAGTGCTAGCCTTGAGCACAAAAGTTAAGGGACAGCAACCAGGCCCTGAGTTCAAGCATAGCACTGGCACAAAAAAAAAAAGAGGAGGAAGAAGATGATTTGAATCATGATTACAAAACAGTATGAATTATATGATTGCATTTTTGAAAAAGCAAACAAATGTCTCTTGTGTTTGGAAGAAATGGTACCCATCAGACTCCTAGCTGGTAGTTATGAGTAGTTGTGATTACTTCATGTGCTTCTGTTTTGCTTCACTCATGACTGTGCATGATGTGTGGTTTCTGGTACATGTCTTGGCCCTGCTGATGTAGGTCATTAGCCCCTGTAGGCTGGGCAACTTTTGGGGGCTGAAGGGGACAAGGGAAGGGAATGGCAAGAGTAAACAGACAGTAGTGTATAAGGCTTTCCCACTTTTCAGGAGTATCTTCAGCCAGACCACATGCTGGGAGAGGAGGTAGGCTAGCTATCCTAGCTAGAGAGGGAGCAGTGGTGCCCAGCAACCCTCATTTCCCACTCCCCCTCCTCCGCCCCTACCCCGCCCCCTGTCTACTCCTACTGTGGTTCCAGATCTGCTTTCAGACCCTTAGTGCCTCCAAAGACCAGCTCCTAGCCTTGGTAGTTTGAGAGCATCTTTGTCCAGAGCAGGTATCCAAAGACCCACCCCAGTCCCAACCCCAACTCTCATTTCAGTACATCCCCATGCCAGTGCTGTATGGAGTCTTCCTCTACATGGGTGTGGCCTCTCTCAACGGCATCCAGGTAAGACTCCCTCCCAGGATGATGTGACTTAGTCTACCTTCCATGTCTACCTCCATACCTCAACTTTAAAATAATAGTACGCATAATGCCATCATTTACCAGGTAAAGTACGTTGTCAGGTAAAATAACTATTTAGAAAGGTGTTATATCATTTAACCCATATAATTAGATACTTGATCCCCATTTTACAGATGGGGAAATTGAAGCTAAGAACTCAAAACTCAGCTAACTCCAGTGAGCATTTCACTGCACTTGCCCGCCCACCCACCCCCTCAGAAGATAGCCCTGAAAAAGAAAAGATGTTGTTTTGTTTGCCATTAAATCCCAGATGTCTTGAATAGCTTGTGCTGCAGTTTCCTTGAATATGGACCACATTCATTGTGCAACTATCTCTAGGGCTCCTCCCCTCCTCTCCTGTAGTGCATCTTAAGGTCTGATCAGGAGTAACCTCTTTGAGCTCCCTATCAAGACATCTCTTCCCCTAGTCTCAAGTTCTAGCAGGCCTTCACACCTGCCTTCCCCCCCCCCGCATACCCTGTACCCCAACCCTATCTCCTCAGGGCTTGGCTTGCCTGGCTGAGCCCTGCACTGTCCTCACCAGTTCTGGGACCGCTGCAAGCTCTTCCTGATGCCTGCCAAGCACCAGCCAGACTATGCCTTCCTGCGCCACGTGCCTCTGCGCCGCATCCACCTCTTCACCCTTGTGCAGATCCTCTGCTTGGCGGTGCTCTGGATCCTCAAGTCCACCATGGCTGCCATCATCTTCCCAGTCATGGTAAAGTTGGCTCAGGTTCCCCCACTTCAGCAGGTTGGGTCTGGGCAGGTGTCTGTTAGGAGGTCTGGCCAGTACCGAACTGCCTCACTTTCCATTGCCCTCCTCTATCCTACTGAAGGCCTGCCTTCACTGGAGCAGGACTAGCTTAGAGGTTAAGGCCAGGCCAGATGCTATACATGGAGGGTAAAGAGGAAGTGGAGGAAAGAATGTCACTGTGGCAGGCACCCCTCCAGTGACAACCCAGGTGTAAGGTCAGGGCAAAAGCCACCCAGTGTCCATGCTGGGATAGGGACTGGCTTGGGGCTGAAGGACAAACTCCACCTGCAAAGGAGTTCCCCACTGCCAAACCTCAAACTCTTCTCAGAAGTAGATACATATGACGAATAAATCCATTCACAAAGCAAAGTAACCAAATTTGACAAATATGGCATCCCATTCAAGAGCACTTAAAAATAAAAGGAGAAATCGTGAGGTGGCCTAAGGGAAGAGCAGGATCAAGAATTTCAGACCCCAATAACAATACAAAGTTTGAGCTGGAGAAAGATGTATAGAACTTCTTTGACTAGGGGCTGGGAAGGTGGCTCAGTGGTAGAGCACTTGCCTTGCATGCACGAGGCCCTGGGTTCGATGCCTCAGCACCACATAAGCAAAAAAAGAAAAAAGCTGGAAGTGGCGCTGTGGCTCAAGTGGTAGAGCACTAGCCTTGAGCTGAAGAGCTGAGGGACAGCGCCCAGGCCCAGAGTTCAGGCCCCACAACTGGACCCAAAAAAAACCAAAAAACTTCTTTGACTATTGTGAATGTTATAGAACTCTGAAATTTAAGAGAGAGAGAGAGAGGGAAAGTGAGAGAGAGAGAGAGAGAGAGAGAGAGAGAGAGAGAGAGGAGAGAGAGAGAAGTGAAAGAAATTGAGCACTGGTGGCTCACTCCTATAATCCTAGCTACTCAGGAGGCTGAGATCTGAGGATCAAGGTTCGAAGTCAGGCTGGGTAGGAAAGCCCATGAGACTCTTATCTCCAGTAAACCACCAGAAAACTGAAAGTGGTGCTATATCTCAAGTGGTAGAGTGCTTGCCTTGAGCTGAACTGCTGAGGGACAGCGTCCAGGCCCAGAGTTCAAGCCCCACAATTGATTTAAAAAAGAAAGAAAGAAAGAAAGACTGGTTCTCCAACCTATGGTTTCTATCCTGGTTCTCCACTTTAACTGTCACAGGTTCTATCCCTCTCAGTAACTGCTAACTTGAAGAAAGACTAGATTGAGAGGGACCTAGGTAGAAGTGAATGATGATTTGTAGAAACTTTGAAATGGCTCCAAAAACATTAACTACAAAAGGTACCCAAGTTCATACAAGAGAAAAACTATCCCATGGCTTAAGCTCCACCAACCAGTACTTTCCTTTGTAAAAGGTGAGATCAATAGAGCAAGGTGGATGAGGTCAGGTCCATTGAGAGACTGAGAGCCAAGCATGGCATAGACAATGGTTTTCTCTGAGCTTCCTCAAAACTTCAGTCTCTCTGTCTACCCACCACAGATCCTAGGCCTTATCATTGTTCGGAGGCTTCTGGACTTCATCTTCTCCCAGCATGATCTGGCCTGGATTGACAACATCCTCCCAGAGAAGGAGAAAAAGGAGACAGACAAGAAGAAGAAAAGGAAAGGGGCCCACGAGGACAGTGATGAGGAGGTGGGAAAGATGAGATGCTTGGGCAAAGGGGAGTGGTCTAGAGACCCTCCCTTCACTTCTGCCTCAGCCAGGGAGGGGTGGCTTCTCAGGTGGCCTACAACAACGCTTGGACTCAAACAAGGATGAGCTGGGGCTTCTTCCTGCCTCGATCTGGGGTGCTGAGAGTCCATCGGTTCCTAGGAATATCTTCAGGGTGGCCAGAACCAGTGACCCTCCCTGCCTTAAAACAGGTGACTGAACAAATCCACTCTCCCATTCCTGTGAGTTATCAACCAGCAGTGCAGTTTCCTGAGGAAAGATGGCTGTAACATGTAGGACACCCAAAGACTGGAACAGGCTTAGGGAGAAGGGCCTGGTGGGAACTTAAAAGTAGACTGAACTTCAGGAATCTAATATGCCTCAAGTATTAAGATGAAGTGAGGCAAGAGGCATGTGTCCTCACTGAAAGGAGAGTGACATTTTCCAGATGCCTAGGACCACCTGGTTGTCCCATCGACCCCTCTTCTCTCATCTTCTACATCCCACCCACAAAACACTCTGTGAGTGTTTTGGAGCCAGTCCAGAAGCTTTTGTGAATCTCAAAAAAAATTAGACAAAAAGATGATCTGGTTCATGTTTATTATACATGATGACACAGTACCCCAAAGGGAAGTAACTTTCCCATGATGAGCAAATAGCTGACTGTCTAGGAGAGAATTAAAGTCATTCCTGACTTTGATGCTTGATTTCCAGTATACTGAACTGCCCCCCATGTCATCTCTTAATGCCATGCCTGGCTCCCAGTCTCTCAGTGTGACCTGAACTCATCTACCTTGTTCTAGTGATCTCACGTTTTGCAAATGAAAGCTGCTCATAGGCAAATCCTTGGTGACTAGTTGCTAAATGCTTGCTGACTAGCTGGTGGAGATTCAGTCATCCTCTGATGGTGGTGACTAGTGAAAACTCCCCTGGCCCTTAATTACTGTCCTTTTTCAGGACAGAGAGAAAATTTGGAAAAGGTAGATTTTGAAAACAAAGAGTTCAAGTGTCTTTAAAAATAAGTACTTATTCTTTCATTGGTTCATTCAATAAATATTTACATAGCTTTCACAAAACAGAAACTACACCGGGGTTGGAGGTGTGGGAAAAGCATCTCTGCATTATAGGCTCTATTCAGTGAAAGAATGGAATTCAAGATATCTAAATTCATCTTGCAGACATCTTTGTAGCAATACAGGGAACATTGCAAAGTTCATTCCCAACAACTGGCTATACACCAGATGAAACTTGTTTTGAGGAGTGACATCCCAGGACAAGTTCCTTCTGAACCGTTCTCTGGGTGTCTAGAAAGTGGATTTACAGTGCTCACTGCGCTCCAGGTCTCTAGGTGCTAGCAGCGCCCTGACTGCTTGGTCTGGATGTGAAGAGGATGGCAATCTGCACGTTGTAGATACATGCATTTTCCACTTTGGCAAGAAAGCCAAAGTGGTTATGTTGGTGGTGTTTATCAGCTTTTCCCACTGTTTTTCTCCAGCCCCAGTTCCTTCCTCCCTCAGTTATAAAGATTCCCATGGAAAGTGTCCAATCAGATCCCCAAAATGGTATCCACTGCATTGCCAGTAAGTAAAACACCTGGTATTTCTCCCTTCCTATTCACTACTAATCCTCCATCTATTCCCTTAAGAACTTCTAAAACCTGTTACTTGGGAATCTGATCATTTTAGATACTAGAGGGCTCAGTTTCTAGACAAATCAACAAGAAAACTGAATCAATCAAATGGAACCTCAAAGCACACTGAAGACTCCTAGGACCAATTTCACTAAAAGCTAAACCCTCATTCTTGGCTTTCCTTTGGCATCTCTGGCCCCACTTGGCCTCCTTTGAATTGTTTCAGAACACAGGAATCCTAACATGGCCTCCCGAGCCACTCATTTTCTGGGGGGATGTTGAAATGATTGAGAACTCAAATCATTTTCCACCTTTAGAGAAACAGGTAGAAATCTGCATGGTAAGTCAGAACCGAAGGTCCCAGTATAAGTCGCAAGTACCTGCCATGTGCTAAAGGGGAGGCTTCGGGGGAAGGATGGAGGGTTGCTTATAAAGACCCTGTGAAAGTCTATCATTCTAATCCCTCCCAACTGGTGGACAGTTGTGTCATGAAGACCACACAGCCCATCTTTGGAGTCTTTAGAAAGCTCCAGCCTGTGTCTTGACCCTGATGCTCCTTTACGCTTTCAAAGACAGCAGTTATGGCTGGATTACCTGGGATCCCACCAGCACCCTCAGTTCCCTTGGGGATTTCCTAGTACCATTCTCTATCATAGTATTGCCATATCTTTCTTCCAAGGGCCTCACTCCCTCTTAACCCAGCTAAGAACCTTCTGTGTGAAGAACTGAGCCAGAAGCAACCCAGTTCTAAAGGCCTCAATATTCCTTTTAACTATACTATTGTACTTAGGGTTAGAGAATGAACAAAATTAATGGTTGAGGAGGGGTTAGAGAAATAGGATGTTCTTCTTTATTTCACTTAAACCTGTTTCACATCTGACATTAAATTTTCCTGCCAGGAAAAAGATCTTCCAGTTGGAGTTACTCACTCTGATTCTTCCTTCAGTGGCTCAGAACTTGATCGAAGGTAAAGGCTCAGGTTGGGATCAGAAGACTCCTGGGTGTTAGAGAAGACAGTAAGCAATGTCCAGAAGGTTGAGGGATTAGGATTTCACACTATGGATTTTGATGCCACAACACAGGGAGACAGAGGATGATTAGCCAGCTCACACCTTGGGGACAAGAAACAAATGAGTCTTTTTATTACATCCACAATGTGGTTAAAACACACAAAGGTATTCAACTTTAATACAGGGACTTACTGCAAATATTGCATGGAATATTGAAAAAATAAAACTAGACAGTAAAATTACACATAAAGTTTAAGTACCTGTTACTGAATGGCAGAATGAATGTATGTTAAGGATGATAACACCACTTTAATACTGTATGGAATAAAATAACAATGGGTTCATTATCATAGATCAGATATGGGGGAAACATAAATCTAACAAAAAATAAAGATTAAGTGGAGCTAGGAAGTCAAGAAAGGATTTGAGACCCAGATGCTAGAACCTCCAAGCCAACAATGTGATTACTTGGTGTTCATGACCAAAATCTAACATGGAAAAAGGGGGCTACTTCATGATTATACAGGGTGTTGTGACATGAAAAAGAATCTGGCCCACAGAAGCCTGTATCAGTTTATTACTAGGGAAGTTGGTGGGGGCAGTCCCCCTCCTACCATGTGCCCTAGAATGGACAGGTGTCAGTTGGTGTTAGATCCAACCTTAGTAAGATAGATCACAGGCTACCTTGTCTAGAGGCAGATAAATCTTCAGCCTTAGATGTATGTATGCTTTACAGGAAGCACACAAGATCTCCTGAATTATGAGGGGAACTGTTATCATATTGCCAGCATCAGGAATTACCACAAGTCAACCTTGGGCTGCAGGCCTAAGAACATTCTAACCTAGGAGCCAAATTATGTGTCCCTTAGTTCCACATGCCTAACGCAAGCTCCTTTTCCCTGAAAGCCACTGATCTTCCTAAATTCCTGTTAGGAGAAAAGCGATTTATAAATTGAATCTCTAATTGTCCCAATTCCAGACAGTGAAAAGAATTTAGACCACAATAGGGCAATTCCCCAAACCTGTAAAACTAGTCATGGAACTAGAAGTGTAGAAAATTTGGTAACTAAAGATGTTGCTTCCCAACTGCCTCAGTAGGGGCTGGGAAGGTGGCTCAGTGGTAGAGCTCTTGCCTTGCATGCCTGAGGCCCTGGGTTCGATTCCTCAGCACCACATAAGCAAAAAGAAAAAAGCCGGAAGTGGCGTTGTGGCTCAAGTGGTAGAGCGCTAGCCTTGAGCTGAAGAGCTGAGGGACAGTGCCCAGACCCAGAGTTCAGGCCCCACAACCGGACCAGAAAAAAAAAAAAAGAACCCCAACTGCCTCAGTATCAAAATAAAACATTACACTAAGTCAAAACAGAAGGAAGCAAAAGCCACTAGATAGCAGGATTATGCCTCAGCAAAGCAAAGGCTTAGCAGCATAATGTAGTTTGGGGATGATGCTTGATTTCTGGGGATATAGCGTGACCGGTAGGCAGGACTCAGTGTTTAGTAATGGTATACAGGAGAGAAACGCTGGTTCTAAGGGAGAGATTGTCTGGAGAATCTAGGACCCTAGTTCCCTACCCAATGCACAGAGCAGAGCAGAGCATACAAGTGTTTCTAGGCAATGAGAATGCTTGAAGCACTATTCAAAAACATTCACACAAGGCAAAGAGCAAATACCGGATGGGTGAGCAATCAAAGCAGGAACATAGGCAGGAGTTCAGGTCCAGAGGTCTTTGTCCTCCACGCTATGGAATTTGTCCATGTGATTTCCTTTGAACAATGGGAAGTCAAATTTATGACTTAGTGTTCACTTTGGTAATGGATTAAAGAATAGATTGCATGAGATCAGTTCAATGACTATGGCTGAAAGCTCAGGAGATTGAACACTTTGTTCCCAGGGATGCATTAGGAGTTTATATGCTTAGTGTATGATAGTTCTAACCTAAGAAAGTTCATTAGCAAAAGGACTATTTTCATTAAAGCTCTGTTTGGAGTTCAGGAGGATAGTGTTTTAAACACCCCAACTACATAATCATTCTTTCTTCCTACTTTTCCTCATTCAGCATCACCTTGCACTTCAAAATCTCTTGTCCAGCTTCACCTGCTTTCAGCTATCCACGGAACCCTGTCTTCATGGTGCCACAGGTGAAGATAGAAATGGAATCTGATTACGACTTCACAGACATAGATGACTATGGAAGAGAAGCCAACGGTGAAACCACCCTGTAGGACCACACAGCCTCTCCCAGGCTGGGGACAGGGTGAGATGTGTTAGTCTTCATTGTGGGAGTCTGGGCCAAACTCTTAACTTCTTGGTGCCTGTTTCCTTATGGGTCCTCCTGCCTGATAGAAAATTGAAGATCATTCAGTGAAGAGTTCTACTTCAATACTTAGCTGTTTCCTTCCCTCCTGTAGTTAAATACCTAATATAGATCATTCCTTCTTCTATAATGTGGTCCAGATAAGTTATATTTCTTTTGAAATGAATGTCTCCCCAAACCCTAAGATAAATGGGCAATAGTCCATTTATATCTAAAACAAACACCAATTACATTTTTAAAGGTTATGTTTAAATCTAGATTGAGAGAACTTTAGTCAGTTAATGAATTAATGTAGAACTATGCATCTGACTAAACAGTGCTCACTAAAGTGAAATCTCAACCATGTTAGATCAACAAAAGACCCTTTAAATTTATACCACTGGCTTTTCACACTTGGAATCAAAGTGTGATTTGGATAGGTCCTTCCTTTAGTTTTTCCATGGCTGATTCCCAAAGTCAAACTTCCATTCACATAAACATCTTATGTTAGACAACTAATATTTTGGAAGATTATAACTTTGTAATGTTAAGCTAGTAGTTTAAAATTAATGATTTAAACTATTTGGGTAAATTATGCTAAACTGGCTATTAATGAAGCAAACTTTTTCCTGGGAAACTTAAGTTTGACATTTTCAATTCCACATTTAATAAGCACCAACAATGTCTACATTAATTGTACATCTACAAAGAGGCTGACATTTTCTTTCTCAAAAACAAATAGGGGCTGGGAATGTGGCTTAATGGTGGAGTGCTTGCTTAGCATTCATGAAGCCCTGGTGATTCCTCAGTACCACATAAACAGAAAAAAACAGAAGTGGCACTGTGGCTCAAGTGGTAGAGCAGAAGCAGCTCAAGGACAGAGCCCAGGTCCCGAGTTCAAGCCCCAGGACTGGCCAAAAGCAAACAAACAAAAACAACTATAGATTTGAATTGAGTAAATCACCTTGGTTAGTTCCTACATTTATTCAAGATGACAAATGCAGGTACTTTTTTATTCATTCATTTTTTTAAAGACAAATGGCACTAGATCACTAATACCTTGAATGCCAGCACATCTTCAGAGCCTAGCATAGTGTGTGGGCCATATAAAGTGTTCATTACAGTTAATCTTAACTCCCTCCAAAAGGATACTGCCAAGAGGTATAGACCTCTACCACTCCTGATAGCAACATTAGCTGTTCACTAATCCACAACCACATCAAACTTAAATTCTTTTTCATTTTACATTCTTCCTTTGTGCCATTGCATCCTTAACATTTCAGCCTGAAAGCCTGGCAGATTTGCAGTAGCACTTCATCCACATTAAACTATAGAAATGTTATGGATTCAGGAGTAAATATGCTTGATTAATCAGACAAGCTGGAAAACTGCAATGTTAGTTTTTTTTGTTGTTGTTGTAAATTGATCCATGTAATTTTTACCTTATATATCGTTTATATTTTGTATGTATACGAAGTTTAATTTCAATAGCTTTCAACACGTTGACATACTGTTGCTTCTCCATGTTGTCAGTACAGTTTTTTCCTTACTTTTAATGTAAGCATGCTTCAATAAAACTTAATCCTGTCTGCTAATCTTACTCCATGTTTATTAATTTAGGTAAGTCAGCAGGCATGGCATATATGGGCCATAATTCACTTACAAAAACCTCCCAGCACTCATAACACTGGCAGAGGTACAATGAAGGAACAGATCAAGCTGACTAGGACAGGAGCTCCTTTTTCCTGAGTGAACAAACTCCAAACAACTCTTTTTGATAGCACACAAGAACCTATCCCTACCTCAAAATAGGCCCAGCAAGAATCTTCCAATCTTAAATCAAACTAATGCTCACAGGATATAACATTTTTCCATTGTGTACACAAGTGGAGAACTCAGCAACAGGAAAACCCGTTGTTGTAATACATAAATTGAATACATGACTTACAAAGCACTTAGAACCTCGTAAGTGAATCTCAGATATTAAGCTTTGGACTTGCTAGCATTACTTATCGGTATATGAAAGGAGTAGGTTGGTTTCTCCCTAGTTACTCAAACAAATTTGTTATGAGTTGGGGGTTACCAAATATAGAAATAACCAGACTGATGTATCCAGGAATAAAAATCATAACTAAGACAGTAAGAAAATAGTATTCTAGAAACTCATTCCACACCAGACAGATGTGTTTTATTAACAAAACAACCCTTTAATCAGAAAGTCTGATTAGATTTGACATTAACTGAAGATCTTGAATATCTTTCAGGAAAGCCCACAGAGTATGTAAAGAAAAGCAGGCAGGTGCTGCTGCATCTTTGGTGGAAAGTAAGTTGCACAGTTATACAAGCTGCCCTAGTGATTATCAAGTCCAAGTTTTTTCCAAAATAAGTTTCAAGATATAACAGAGAAACCACAGAGAAACCTCTAACAATACAAAACTTGAACAACAAAATATAAAGATATAACAAAAGCCAAATACAACAGTACACACAAATAATTTATAAAATAAACCTTTCAGTCCTAGAAAGCTAAAATGGAGAGAGCTCCCAGAAAGATAAAATACATATAAGGGCAACATTTCCCTAATGACTAAGCCACAAAATGACAACTAATTCACATGTAGTTTTCCTTAGCCAATTCAGTTCTTTAGATAAATTGGTTACACTCAGTATTATACAGAAATCAAGGTCATTTTTATCTCCAATAAATCACTATCTCCACTAAATCCTTTTTACCTTCTCCCTAATTTTCACTAGCAACGTTTTTCCTTTGGTTTGAACAGCTGAACTCAAAAGGTTTGGAACCTAAAATGAGTATCAACTCTTATTGGAATAGCACTTAGGAAATGCACTCCTAGAAAAGGCAGATTTTTAACTTAAGAATTTGATAAAGTTAGGCATCCACTCTCAGTGTAACAGCATCTCCAATGTTATCTTCAGGTAAACAGTTTCTCTTGGCTAGATCAGATGATCCAATATGACACCAGAGGGCTTCCTGGTGACATCAAGCACGCGTACACACACCCATTTAAACTTTCAATAAATACAAAGCATCATTTCAGTAGAATAAATTAAACATATTGCATTTCTGTTGGCCTGATTTACTTCTTGGACTGGCTTGGAGTGCTGTTCATGGCATGGGTGACACAGTTAATTGGTGGCAACTCCACGCTCCTTAGACTTCAGCATTTCTAGCTCTTCTGGCCTTAGCACTTTTTTTGCAGCAATAATGGTATTCTTCATGAGCATTGCCACTGTCATGGGACCTACACCCCCAGGGACTGGAGTGATGTAACCAGCTTTCTTCTTGACTTCTGCATAGAAACAAGACAGGCAGCTACAGTTAGGCAAAAGAACGCATCTTTAAC